TATCCATTTTTCCTTGCCTTCCACGTAACAAGGTGCAACTTTTATTCAGAATTGTCTTCTTTTCCAAAACAGCCAGACAAATTTAATATCCCTATTATGCAAGTAAAAGCAACACAACTCTAAATTTTAATTGCTAAGATTTTTATCAGTTGGAACCATTTTTCCTGTGTATTTTTTTAATTCAACATTTGTGGGAATGTCTGAAAAACAGCAACCTGGTAAGATTTTTGCATTTCTAAAGCAAAACACAAATCCTTATTCTTTGCAATTTGCCTTTAGGGCAAGTATGTTAAAAAAGTATAGTTCATGAGCCATATGCATCTCTTCTGTATGATCTGTTTGGTGGCTTCCAGAGTATGCAGGATCAAAACTGTCTTCTTTGGTATATTTTGGAGTGATTTTAACCACCAAACACTTTAGAAGCAAAATCTTAAGACTGGTTAAAAACCCCAATTTCCCTTTCCCTGCATGTATCTGTTTTGAATCCTGGGTCTTCCCGCTTTTTCAGTTTAAATTTTGAACTGAAGAAATTGTGTACTGACTCTAGGTCTAACTACCATTTGATATTTCTCACTTCTGTTCATGCCAGTTAATTTATTTTTCTTACAATCTATGTCCTAAATAAAGCAGTTTCAGTATTTCAGTCCAAGGTATTCCAGACTCTTGCTATTTTATGGTTCTATTTCTTCTGTGCAGGTATTTGTTGAAATATCCTGGAGTGCCAAAATGTTTTGCAGTAATTAAAACTTTTAACCACAGTACATTGACAAATATTTTTAAGCTTGTTGCCATAACAGTACCAGTGTCATTACTTGATACTCTTGCAAGTTTTTAGTTCTGAAAATGTGGTATTTTCTTTTCCCACAAGCTGACCTCATGGTTTGCTGCTTGATCCAAGAATATTTCCTAATATGTAAAAATCACACCCTGGAATCTTTTCAGACTGTCATTTTGAGGAAAATTTAAGGCATTCCATGTTAACATGGAATTCAGAGCTAAAAACAAAGGTCTCCCCAAATGTAGTATGCTAGCAATGGCAAATTTTAAATCCCCCCCCTTACATAATATTGTCTTAGTATAGGCTTCTTTATATGGAGAAATTATGAAAGTCATCTACTACTTAAAGGGTATCTTTTTTAGAATGTATTTGAAGAATTGTTTCAAGCTATCAATCTGATGAAATAATTTCACAGGTAATATCAAAATGAGGGTGCATTGGAATGAGTTTTAAATGGTTTTCCCATTTAAAAAAAAAAATCAATAGATCTTTTTGTTTTCTGAGGTTCCAAACTTAATTCTTAAGTCTGCCAAAATATCTCAATTCACTTTTGGTGCCTGATGCACATAATAATCAGAAAACTGTCTCATAGATTCTTTGATGTCAGAATGCAGAACTATGGCCATGATTGGGAAGCTTTCAAGGTTGCAGTCACTTGATAGCCACACCAAGGAGAAATGTGTTCTTATATTTGTTCACTATTTTTCTCAGCTGGAATTTATGTAGAGCTAAGTGTCTACCAGTGTCTCTTAGAACATTATGTCAATGTATTAGAAAGATCTGGGGAACTTAATAAAGGAGGAGGGCCTGATCTGCCCACAAACTTTCCTAGACAATTTGGGAACTTGCAGTCTTATATTATGCCTTCCTAAGTCAGTTTGGCATGTTGTATGTTTATCTTAGTCTTTACCAAAATATTTTTCTCAATTTTTTCATGTAAGCACTTCAAAAATTCCAATATGAACTGCACCCTCCCTGAACTCTCAACTCCCTCATACCGAGAGAAACTCTTCCCACAGTGGCTGCAGATGTATGGCTTGTGCACAGCACCGTCATGTGAACGGACATGATAGCTCATGCGGTCCTTCCGTTTGAACCGTTGCTGGCAGACAGGACATTGGTAGGGCTTCTCATCTGAATGTGACAACTTATGCCGATTGAGATGGTAGACATCCCGGAAGGCTTTCCCACACATCTCACAAGCATGATTCTTCCGGATACGTTTGCCTGATGCTGTTGTGGTCACTAGGCCTGCACCTGACCCTGCTGTGTTTCCAGTACCCTCAGCAGGGGCAGGTGTTGCTGGGGCTGTACCACCGATGGCAGAAACGCTAAGCAAGCTGAGGGGAACCATAGTGGGCATCTTCATGGTTGTGGGTCCAGCATGAGAAGCTTTTGCTCCTGTGTGTATAGCTTCATGGCGTCGCAGGTTGTAGCCATTCTTGAATTCTTTAGCACACAGGGAGCAGATGTAGGGCCCTTTACTCTTTGGTTTCTTCTGGGCCTCAGATGCCTGAGGGTTGGCAGGAGCTGCCTGTGGGGTAGGGGCTTGCGTGGTCTGAGTGGGTGGCACTACCTGCCCACTCCCACCTTCAGAGGCAGAAGGCTGCTGCTGTTTCAAGGCAGCTGTATCTACTGTGGAAGCAGCTGGTGCAGAAGCAGTGGCAGCAGCAACCACAGCAGCTGCAGCTGCTGTTTCTTGTGCTGCAGCCAAAACAGGCAGGAGGTCCACTTGGAGGGACTCAGCAGGGGTAGCTGTCTGTTGGGGAGGAGCAGTTGTGGTGGCAGTCTGAAGAAAGAGAGATTGTATAATTGAGTAACATAGTGATGAACAATCAAGACTGAAACCCTACAGTAATCTAGCAACTTAAATACAAAGATAAGTAAATTCTTACTTCAAAAGTAACCATAGTTTTTACAAGCAGAAAAGAGTTGGGTTCATCAATATGCAGCATATGCTGCTAAACAGAATAAAAGCAAATTCTTGGTTTTTAATATACTAAAATTTTGAGGGTTCCACTATGTGGAGAATTTCCCATTTCTGCTCCCAGAATGTATTACATTGTTCCACTACTGAGACTAAAATAGTTTCCTTATTGCATAACAGATAAGGGACACAGTATGTGTATTTAAAATTGATTGTTTATATATACAAGGAACAAAATCAGCATGTGTGCAATAACCTTGGAATAAGAGTCGAAGAAAAGTAGCTGGCTTATGTCTATGACAGTACAGAACAGGGAGTAATTCCACAGTTCAGCAGAAAGATATTGTAGTATGTTGAGTACTATCCCATTTGTTTTCCAGAGAATGTCTTTTTCTACACTAAACTGAGGCAATCAGTTTTAATGTGTGCACAAACAGGAAATAAGTAGGAAAATTAACTCTACATTATTGATTCTGCTCAAGGTTCAGATAGAGCAGGGGTGTCAAACTCCCACGGAGCTGCCCTGGAAATTGCAAATGGCCAGCCTGTGGAGCCTCTGCAAGCGGCCCTCCGGAGCTCCGTTTTTGCTGGCAGAGGGTTACAGGAAGCCATTGCAGCTGAAAACATAGCCCGGGAGCCTGTTTTTGCTGGCAGAGCACTCAAGCCACCACAAGTGCCCCTGACACAAGTGACGAGCTAGCCATGCCCACCCTGCCCCCTGAGGTCAAACCCAACCCTGATGTGGTCCTCAATGAAATCGAGTTTGACACCCCTGAGCTAGAGAAATAATCCATATGTGGCACAAGGCCTTAACTGTTATCTAGACTTCAGGGCATTTAGCTGTGCAGATGCCCAAATTATGCATTTATGCTTTAATACCTGCAAGGCAGAGCAATCTTATTTTTCTTATGGTTTTCTCCACCAGGGGAGATTCAGTACTATATATTAGAGATTAAGTTCATGTAGTAGTACTCTCTAGATAATTAATGCTTTTTGACTAGGTTGAACTTACCTATTATACTTTTACCAAATGCTTGGGAATTTCCTTTTTTTTAACTTTTAAAAATAAACTTTATTAAACATTAAAAAATATATACATAGTACAAAACATTTTGTAAAATACGAAACCAAAAAGCTATACATAACCAATAAACATAAAAACAAAAACATTTTTAATTGCTTAGACAGTGTGTTCTTATCAAACAATTTTCCAATACTTATTTCCTATATCTGGTAAATAATCCTATTATAACCTCTTTATATTTTCCCTTCCTTATCTGTTTACTCGGTGGTTTCTATCCTTTATCCAATTATATCAGTTTTCCCAAACTGTAAAATATTTTGAGTCTTCCTTATCTTTTAACTTTTGGGTGAGTTTATCCATTTCCGCGCAGTTGTAGATCTTCTGGATTATCAAGTTATCCGTTGGCATCTGATCACCTTTCCAACATTGAGCTAATGCTATCCTTGCTGCATTGATTATATGTAGAATTAAATATTTTATTTCTTTTGCGATATCACTTTTTATTATCCCCCCCCCCCCCCCCAAAAAAAAAATCAGCCTTGAGTTATAATTGAATGTTTGTGATTTCTCTTATCCATATTCGTATTTTTCCCAATACTTTTTACTCTTCGGGCAAAGCCACCAAGTGTGGAAGGAGGTACCCCTTGTTTGTTTACATTTCCAACAGAGTGGGCTTAAAATTGGATACATATTGGCCAATCTCGAAGGTGCCAGTTACCACCGATAGCACATTTTATATTGGTTCTCTTTATAGACCACCAATTTTGTTATAGTTTTGCTTCCAAATTCTTTCCCAGTCTTCCAAATTGGTATTATATCCTATGTTCCTTGCCCATGCTATCATTTGGCCCTTAACTATTTCCTCTGCCAATTCAAATTCTAATAAGTAGTTGTACATTTTTGAAATTGCTTTTTCGTCTGTTCCCTCTAAGAGTTTATCTAATTGATTCAGCTTTATATCTATTCCATGTTCCTCTACACCTTTTTTATACCTTGTTTTAAGTTGTAAATATGGCCACCAATCCATCTGTACCCCTTGGTCTCTGAGTTCTTGGTTTGTTTTTAACATTCCTTTGGAATCTAAAACATCATAATATTTAGTCCTACTTCCAATTTCTAGTGCATTGGGGTGTATCAATGCCTCCATGACGGATACCCACCCTGGAATTTTCATATACTGATTAATTCATTACCTCAAAACTTACAACTTTTCTACCTCATCACCTATATCAACGATTAGATAATCAATTTCTATAAAATATTTTATTAATGGTTTAATTGATTTATTGTTTTAATTGATTAGTGTGATTAGAGTGTTTAGTGCAAATAGTGTGATTACTGACTAGTTTAAAAGATCAAGATTCATGTAATTTAATTGAATAGTAAAATCAATGATTTAGTGAATTTAAATGAACAGTGTGATTAATGATTAGTGTAATTAATTGATTAGTGATTAGAGTAATTAATTGATTAGGCTGATTGTTGCTCAGGAATATTATCTGACTAGACAGATTACTGCAATTGATTGTTTGGTGTGATATTGGCTATATAGATTACCCAAAATTGTTCCTTTAATTAATTCAATCAACGTACTATCTTAACAAACCTACCATGCCAAAAAGAAAATCCAATGCCAAACCACAACCTAAAGAGAAGATAATCCCCACCAATGAACCACAAGACTCCTGCACATGCCTTAAATGCTACAAAAATCTAAAGGATAATGAAAACTCCATCAAATGTTCTCTGTGTAAAAAATACGCTCATCATGACTGCTTGGGATTAACCAAGCAATTTATTCAATACCTGGAATCATCCAATGAGCTTTCATATCTCTGCAAATCATGCAAACCCAAACTGGATCTGTTGGAAAGAGTTGATACCATTGAAACCATTGAAACATCCCTTAACACCATAGTAGCATCCCTGGACGCCGTAAAAGAAAGAATATCCAACCTTGAAAAAAAAGACACAACGCAAAAACCTGAACATCCAATAGCTACAAACCACATCTCTACCCAACAACCACAACCCAATCCAAAACCCAATCCACAAATAAACACAACCCAGACAAATATTGATATCCCAATCCTCATCAGAGAAGCTGTTGAGCGTGAACGGAAACGTCCAAACGCCATCTTATTTGGTCTAGAGGACATCAATGACAATGATGACATCACAACTGTCTGAAACTTCATCAGTGATTATCAAGCATCAACCATCTCCGCTGATGAAATACTTGACATTTCCCGCATTGGCCGAGAGCTCAAAAACAGAGACGGCTCTGTGGCCCCACGCTTGTGCAGGGTCATTTGCAAAAATGAATCAAGCAAACGTAAATTCATTTACACTATAAATTCACTCGCCAAAACCAACACCAACCATAAGAACCTCCGTTGTCGCCCTGACCTAACCATACAGCAACGTGCCCGCTCCCGTGTACTCCGCACTGAACTCAAAAAACGTCTAGACAATGGAGAGAAGGACCTGTACATTGACTACCATGCTGACTGTATCAAAAGTAAGCCACACAACCCGCAACTCAGCTTTAACCCTCAACCACAACCCTACCTCAACCGATCCACCATCACCCAAGACTAGGCATGCATGCCCCTAACTACCTCAATTCCAACTACTGCTGGCCTTAAATGCAAACTACTCAATGCAAGAAGCCTCGTGAATAAAATACCTGAATTTTTCCTCCTACTAAATATGGCTAAATTCGACATTATATTTGTCTGTGAAACATGGCTCAATGCATCTCTCCCTGACTCCATTACCACAGTAAGAGACTATCATGTTTACCGATCAGATCGTGAAATTCGTAGAGGAGGTGGTGTTGCTATCTTCTATAAAAAGTCCTTACATCTAAAAAATATCCAAGTTACCCAGGAGCTTGCTCTTCCTGAGACCATCATCTGTGAACTATCCTTAAATATCACAATTCGATTCTTACTATGTTACAGAGCACCTGATTATGACATCGAACACGTAAACAAGCTAAATACATTACTAACATGGGCTGCATCCTGCCCATACCCTTTTATCTTTCTTGGTGATTTCAATCTACCTCATATTGACTGGACCCTAAATGTTTGTACAACTGAAATCATACACACAACCTTCTACAATGCTATTACAAATCTGGGACTGGAACAACTAGTAACCAACAACACTAGACTAAACAACTGCCTCGATCTCATCTTCTGCAATAGTTTGAATTTAATTTACGGAATACAAACTAAAGAACCCTTTTCCAGCAGTGACCACAATATGATTGACTTTTGTCTCAACATACGCCCACACAAAAATCACCACAATGATGTAATCCCCAATTGTAACTTCAAAAAAGGCAACTATGATCTTATAGACAACGATCTCTCATCCCTTGATTGGCAATCTCTATTCACTGGATGCAATACTGTTGAAGACCATTACAACATATTTTTACTTGAAGTCAAAAGAGTCATCAAACTATATGTACCAACAACAACTCCCAAAACAAAACAAAAAAGCAGATTACCCATAACAATAAGGAAACTTCAATCCAAAAAGAGATCACTCTGGCGGAAAAACAAATCTGGTCACGTTGCCAATTTCAAAAGCCGATACAAAAATTTATGCCACCAGATAAAGACCGAATGCATCAATTATCACATTAAACAAGAGGAAAACCTTCTAAGCACCAATTCCACCCGTGCTTTTTACAATTTTGTAAACAACAAACTAAAAGACTCAAGGTCTATCCCACCCTTGATAGGACCTGATGGTAAAGACTGCAACGACGACACCATTAAAGCCAACATCTTTAACACATTCTTCGGCTCAGTATTTGTAAACAGCAGTGGATCATGCCCAGTATTTCCTAGCCGTACCACAGATAACAACAATGATCTAATACATATCGATTTTACAGAAGACAATGTTGAAAAAGCACTACGCAATCTAAAACCATCTC